TCGAGTAGGTAGGCGTCTCGCTATTACTTCTAGGACGGAACTTGAGTTCAGAGCATTCTTGGAATTCATCGTAATCAACGTATTCTTGTAAGTCATCAGATTATCCGAAAACTCAGTGAGTGCCTTGGAGTCATCTTGTAATTGACTACCATCAACTTCAACAGCCTCGAATACGTTCCTTACAATCATCGAAGTTCTTCCGAATATTTGACGCAGTATACTCATAGCCTCAGAGTATCCTTCGTTAGGGGGCAAGAACTCACAGCACTGTATAGCTCTTGAAGCAACTCCAGTGCAGTACCTCATCGAATACATCAACTTCATTTCATCATTTACTAAAAAACTACTGAACATGATTTAAAACTCCTTTACAAACTGTAAATAGTCAGCTGAGTTTCCGTCGAAACACCGAGGTTCAAATTTAGGAAGCTTGATATTCCTATTATCCCTAGACGGCGAAACATTACAATCAACCATATCATGCTTAAGATCGAATACATCGTTACATGTAACAGACAAGTCAACATGACTTGCTTTCCTGTTTGCTTCCAAGACGCTCCGTCTCTTCTTTGACACAGGCATCATTGAACGTCACAAATTCCAGAAAGTTCCAGATAACGCTTGTCCAGAGAAGACTGGCAGGCACCAGGGAAGACGAAGGGAAACTATCCAAACCCTATCATATACTGTCAGTCAAGTTTTTGAACTACTGGTATGATAGTGCCATTTAGTGTAAGCAATTCTACATCTCAGAGAGGCCCAGATTTACAGGTTTACAAGACTGAACACTCCCCAACATTGTGAACCAGACCTTTGGCAGACAGTTTAACGACTTCAAAGGTGGCTTAGGCTAATGTATACCGACCTGGTTTTAGTTATACGATTAGAGATATCATACGTCACACATTCTACAATACTCACATTACTACTTAGATGCACGAACTTATCAACTACTTCTAGCGGTTCACCTGAAAAGCTCCCGTCACTCTTGCAACAGGCCATTGCACTTAGAAGGAGTAAACTACATACCAGACTTGTAAACACTGACTAAGTGCGAATGGGTAGATTGTATGTTATCACACTGTAAGACAATATTGTTTGCACACTTGAGCTCAGAAAGTATTTTCCCAGACATATCTACTCCACCAACACACGTTTTTCAAAGCCGTTTCCAGAGTGTCATCGACGGCAAAGTTAAGGAGGAATGTTGAGAGTGAGCAACATTGTCTAACATCACCGCTAGTTGAGGACATCATCGAAAGTTTTTGTGTAACCTCTTACTGGCTGAAGTGCTTCTCCTTAGAGCTTAAGGACTTCCAAAGACCACTTGTCTCTAACAAACGTTTATAGATATCGATTCTGTTCAACGAATGGAAGGCAGCCTTAGAATTAGGAAGTACAACTGCAGTGAGTGTAATAATGTACTAGGGACTTACAAAATGTGAACGCGTGATTAATGTATCCACAACATGAACAAACCTAGCTTGGTATTCGCCGATAGTTTCCCATCGCGTTTTACACAGGCCGCGGAGTAAGACAATAGCAATTACTTTTGACGTAACAGGCTAATAGTTGGATGATTGTCACATGCACTACGGAAGCCTTTTTTGAAATAGCTGCAGTCACGGCTTCATTCCAAACACTTTCTTGTGAAATCTACTCGGTTCCCTAACTACAGTCTGAATGCCAACTATAAAGGGAACCAGAGACGAGTGGTTTGGGTGCTCTGTGGCATCAGGGTAGTCAAGATTCTTTCTCAACCTCTGTTTCGTCAGATGAATGGTACTAGCTGACCATAAAGCACTGTGATTATTAGTTTTAGATTCTGGTTCTATGAGCCAGCTAAACTGTTTTCAAAGTGTTGTGCCCAGTCTTTCAAGCGTGTTTTGTCGGTTTCTAGTCAGTATACCACCTGTCTCACAGACAGTCTCTTTGACGGTGGCTCAAATGAGCTGGAACAGCTTTTTACTGTCGTAGGATGCACCTGATTTCACATTCCATACACGTTCCAATTGTCAGACCTCATGTAAACACATTTAGACCTTACGTGTAAGAGCCTAACGCACTTTGTTGTATTCGATTCGCACTTGAATAGACCTAAAAGCGTCGAGAAGCCCACAAAAGCCCAGTGGTTTCTAGCGTAGCAACATTACTCATCATATTCATGGCACATTGTGAGTCCCGTTAATGTTAGTCAACAATTAAGGATTAAGTTTGGCTAGATTCGGTACTTGGCAGAGGTATTAAATGCTACCAGTCTGTTTATTTTAGCCTGTTGAGGACGACGTTTGTGATCTTCGCCAAATTGAATGATAAACCTGATACACACTAGAACATAATCAAAATCAAGAAAAGTACTCCAGAAGCAGTGAAGGTCCACTATGTATCTACGCCAATGGTAGCAATATGAAATGTTTGAGTTCAGACTTGAGTGGCAGTGATTGTCAGGCAGTTGGTAGGGGCTAGAAATTGGATGTAATCTGCGCAGAGCTACCACATTATTTGCCTGCGACCATACACTCACCATTGCCCATCTAAATGGCTCTACTTTGAGCCCAGATGTCTAAAAAGTGCATATAAGTTCCTAGCTTGTACTTCGATATCTGTTGAACACGCATTCTTATTAGGCTCATGCAGTTGGTGGAGGAATATATCCTTAACTGAGTTCGACCACCAAGCTCCCAGTGCATTGGCGGATTACGAAAAGGCGATGGACCTCTGACCAATGGCCTTTCACTGTAGTACGACCTTTACGCTTCACAGCACATAAAAGACTTAGTGGGGATCCAGTGGGATAATGCAGTTTCGACCCCAGCGCTTACTGCGACGCCAGCAAAGCTGGATGCCGACGGTTCAGGTACTCGGCTCGCTTGGTACACACTTAGGATTCGGAGGTGAAAAAATATCTGAAACATTTTACTGAGAAAATATACGCGGGTCAAAGAGCATAGATTACACCAATAGATATTTCCTAGGATTCTGGTCGAAAATGCTTCTCGTCTGATTTGCACAAAAATCAGAATGTTGTAGGTGGCAAGCTTGAATGCGATAAGCAGTTTCAGAATATCAGATATTGCACTGGAGGCTAACTTTTTTAAGACAACTAACTAGCAGCTCGAAACAGCACGGATAGACTGAGATGTCAAACAACAGAGAACGGCTAAAAATTAGAGATAATGAAAAATGCAGATGTGATAAGAATAAAACAAAAGATTCGCATTTAAAAAATAAAGTGATAAACTATCAGGCTGCTAAATAAATGACGGACGAAGTAATCTGTGACAGAGTGAGTTCGAGTGGAATTTCCCACTGATTGTTGTTCCGTGAATTGTGCGAGAGCTGACATGGCCGGTCAGACCGAAGCAGATGGTTATCTGAAGGAGCCATTCCCGAGCATTCGACTTAAAGTGTAATCCAAAAGGCCCCAGAGAACAGTCAGGAGCTGTGGTTGCCGGAGATCAAAATAGGTTAGTAAGCCATTCAGTCCTTTTGGATTCTGGAGCCTAGGTTTGGAATTCGAGTATTTCATCCGTCCTGAGTAACCTCTCTATCCACCAGTGACAACCACCGAACATTTGTGAGAACGTTCCAGCTGCATGAAGACACTGAGTGTTGCCCTGCATGAATCTGTTTGATTTCAAGATTGATCATAAAATGACTTCAGTTGGAGATCCCTTGAAAACCAAGGAGCATTGGAATGGAACTTATCTGTCAGAGACTATAAACACTTGACCACATGAAAGTCTTTCGACAGAAAAGCCAGGACCCATCCAACCTCGGTTGTACCAGATCATTTGTAGGGGCCACACTATATTAAGTGAATGATCTACTGATATGCTTAGTTAATGTTATGTAACAACTTCTAGTTATCGTGCAATTAGTGACGCAACTTTTGGAATTACTCGACTACAATACCTACGCAGTAACATTCATGTGAAGTTGAACCACTAAATACCTGTTGAAAAAGTAAGTTGCACAGTAGGGTTAGAGAAAGTTAATCACCTGGTTAGGTCTTCACAACAGTTTAAAAATATGTTACAGGGCATGTGGAATAATCTAAGGGTAATTTAATGCATATTTGTTTCAGGCTGACTGGCTGTACGTATACCGACATTTATATCTTCACTTCGAAAATTCTTCATTACATCGGCTGCAGCCTTTGGTGGAACCTGGAGAAGTGCAGTCATTCTGGGACTCGTATTTTCTTCTAAATGAAGCACTCTTTATACAACGTAAATCTACACCACTTAAACTGAACTAAAATGCATCAATTCGTGATCTAGCTAGGAAATTATTCAACTAATCCGTAGGAATAGTTCGTATGAATGTAAACGCAACCTAAACTTCGGAAAGCATTTTATCACAGTAGAAAATTAAGATTGATCAATCAAAATACTTAAAAGATATGACCTGTGGCTTCTGAGATTATCAGATGTTACAACTACTGAATCGACAGAAAGGTCAGGTAAGGAAAAGACGGATACTAGTTCCAAGAAAACATAAAGCTCAAGCCTTAAATCTCAAAAACAATTCCAAAAGTGGTGTGAACACGGGCAGTAATTTTGCTCGAAATATTACCAATAACAAAACTTATCATCGTGTGTACACTGTTCAAATATAATTATACTTTATTTGACCCAAAGGAACCGTTTGTTCGCAGCATTGCTTGATAAATATCCACACATAACCATGTAAAATTTGAAGAACACACTGAATATTTCAAAAGATTAAAACATATATACGAATTTTTAATGTGAAAGAGCCATTCCTTGCATATCAAAATCAAGCAATAATCCGTTTTCTAAGTTTATTTTAACATTCAAATAGTTTAAGTGGAGAGGCTTTTAAGAAAACTGCAAAATATTCCTACCAAGGATCTACATATAGCTCATTTATTCAGAGGAAACGGAAAACTTCTGTTGCGTCTTTATACATGAATTGATAAGCATCAAATAATATACTAAACAACACTTGAAAAGATAAATATGTCAGTAAAGAAATCAAGGATCAGTAAACTGAGGGAAGGTTTTCTGTGGTGGTCGTATTGCAAACATGTGACAGACTATTGACAGTCTTTGTTGTTCAAATGATACAATCAACGCATGTAGATCTTGATAGAATAATTGATCTAAACCATAAAGGATTTCCATCAGCGACTCCAATTTCAGGTATCTGAAGCGATTCTGTTAAAATTTAATTAAAAATGTGATCATTGAAAACACGTATTAAAAAGTGACAAACAAAAAGGTTCCATTAAGATAACCAAGTGAAATTAATGCTGGCAAAAGTGTGTAATTTCAGTGAAAATGGATTGTTTTAGCCAAAATAAAACAGCGGCTGTTATTTCATCCGTGAATAATTTAAACCGTCCAATCATTGACATTAACAAACAAGATTGGGTGTCAATTAAACCTACTGACAATCTGATATGATGTTATACAGGTAAATTGTCACTAAAATGTGTTCAGAACCAGAATACTTTGTTACGCAGTTTGGACAAAATAAAACTCCGAAAATTGTCTCGAATAATTTCAGTGCAAAGTTAGTTAAGCTTTTCAGAATGAACAGGATATAAGAAAATTTGAAAGGCTTGAACAGCTGCAATTCCATATTATTTGAGTTTCGATTGACTGTGCTCTAGAACTTACAGATATCTCATACAATCAAAACCGATTCTGAAATGGATTTTATTTATTTAAACTTCACTGGACAACTCAAAAAGGATATACAGTTACAGTTGCAGTTCCGTAGCCATATCAGTTTAGTTTAAGGAAAACATCACCAATACTGGGCAGGATTCAGCAGATAACAATGAAGATAGCAGCAATTCCTATAATTATTCATGCAGCGTATATTAACACAAAGAATATTTACAATGATAAAAAGACAAGCTGTGAAGTTAAATTAGTATGATAATGAATACTAAATTGTGTTCGTAGTGCTAACATAGAATGTCAGTCAAATCTCTGCCTCAACAACTTCGTCGACCTCGAAAAAGCCTCCGACAGACAGCGTTGACCGAGAAGTAATTTGGAAACTACTTCAAAACTATCGAGTGCAGCACACCAAATTTTTATCAACCTTATTCAACAGCTAGCTATATGACAATGCCACATGCCAGGTAATCCACAACGAAAACCTCAGCAAAGACTCTGAAGGGAATACAGGAGTAAGACAAGCTGGCTGCCTATTATCGCTAATGATGTAAAGTAAGTGAAGTGACAAGTTGCAACATATTCAAAGACTACATATTCCAGTATAATTATCGTCAGTAGTCTACCCGAGCGAAAATACTAAAACAGTGAACTACAGGGATTAGCAGTTATTTTGAATATTTCACATAACCTACCGACTTAGCATTATTATTCTCGTGGGTTCCGAGTGGAACATAGGGCTTCAACAACACATCTCCACTTTCCTCTATTTGGTACTGTTCTCTACAGCTGGGTCCACGATTGCCTATAATCTCTCATCTCTTCCTCAGACGATCTCCATGTCATCCTGAGACGACCCGCTCGTCGTTTCCCTTCGAGATTCCGCTCGAGCTTTGGCCTGTATTGCACGCGATGTCATTCAGCGGCCTCCTCAACCCATGCTCGGTCCATATCCACTTTCTCCTACATATTTGGTGAGCAATCGGCTGTTGGTTGATTTGTTCCCAAAGTTTCTTGCCTCTAATTCTTTCTGGCCATTTAATCTTCAGTATGGAGCTAGTGAAGACAGCTGCTGATAAAAATCTGTAATACGTTGGAAATCCTTTTAATGACACACAGTACAAGTTTCTGACCCATATAGAAGAAATGACTTGACATCGGTGTTGAAAATCCGAATCTTGTTCTTTGTGCTGAGTGCAGAAGATTTCCATACTGATTTCAGAGTGATGAATATCTTCTCTTTCCGATCCTGGCTTTGGCATCTTCATCCGTTCCGACTGCCTATGGTTGAAACCGTGCTTCCTAGGTAAGTAAAGGAAGTAATCTTGTCAAATCATTCCCGTTGGTGGTGATCGGTGCTGTTTGTTGTTAGTCGGTTATTTTCATAACACCCGTCTTCCCTGTGTTCACCTGGAGCCTGTCATCGCCGCCTCTTCAGCCAGTGTGTTGGTTTTCGCCTGTTAGTCTTCGAGTTTGCGTGACATTAGACATAAATCATCTGCGAAATCTAGATCTCCTTCGGGCTTCTTATCAGCCCAGTGTATCCTTGTCTTCTCGCTCCTCACAGTCTTCCGCATAATCCAGTCCAACACAATTAGGAATATCATTAGCGATAATAGGCAGCCAGCTTGTCTTACTCCTGTATTCCCTTCAGAGTCTTTGCTGAGGTTTTCGTTGTGGATTACCTGGCATGTGGCATTGTCATATAGCTAGCTGTTGAATAAGGTTGATAAAAATTTGGTGTGCTGCACTCGATAGTTTTGAAGTAGTTTCCAAATTACTTCTCGGTCAACGCTGTCTGTCGGAGGCTTTTTCGAGGTCGACGAAGTTGTTGAGGCAGAGATTTGACTGACATTGTTTGCTTTGTTCGATGAGGATGTGTAGAGCTGCAATTTGGTGAACATACGATTCGCCTTTTCTGAATGCAGTTTGTAACCTACCGACTGGCAACGTCTTATTATAAAATCAATTCAACAAGTAACGAAAATAAACCTAGCTAGCTGACTTGTAGAGTACTTGGTGAACTCAAGTCACATAGCTTCACCAGAGTCGTCTTTCAAGAATAAACTTCAAAATTACGAAAGAACAAAAGGAGAAGATTGGTCTTGGGAAGGCGAGAAAAATGATAAGTGTAAAAGAAACACAGTCCCATTTCCATACCGCGTAAAGCTTATGACAGAAGAAATTAGTTGTCCGTACGTAAAAAGTATAATGAATTTTAGTAGAATTAATCGAACGAATACATGTAGATTTAGAATATGACTAAATAACGCTTATGTACGTACAGATAAACTAAAAACGACCCTTTAAATCTCCATATATATATATATATATATATATATATATATATGTTAGGATGTCATTTAATTATAGTTTTGCCTATTACTTGATAAGTTGTTACAAGGCTACAAATACTGGGATATATTTGGTCATAAAATATGCTATTGAAAGATTCATACACTTATTGATTAGGAAATACAGTTTTTCTTTATTATGTATGTAACTACTATTTTGAAGGCATGAATGTGCACATACACAAGAGATGAAAACAAGTTAAGCTCCGATATTTTATTCAAGTGTAATTACACCTTGAAAGTATTATTCTTGTCGCCCACGCATTATTCCCATTCACGTGAACTATTTTGGTATTTGCTAAGAAGATATTTTCACAGAAGAAATCACAGATACACAAATCTGTCCAATGAATTTCAAAGGTATTTGTTATTGTTTTTTTTACTGATACTATTATGTATGGATATTTGTGTATATTTAACTAATCAACTTCAAAAGAAAGCTGAAGTTCGTATATGCATTTCTGTGTCTGTACGTTGGTGAATAAATCTATTAGGTAAAAAGTATACCCTTTTACTGTTTAACATTTAAAGATTCTTCTATGAGCGAGAAAACATAGGCAAGAGGATAAATGTTAGATACAACATTCAAATCAGGGCGGTTTGGTATTTGATGAATTTGATTTTAAAGAGAGACAGAGCGAAAAGTAATAAAAATTAACACATATGTACGATAAGCTGAAATGTAGTTCAGAGTAAGAAAACAACCCAGCTGTGTACAGCCATTTTTAACTCTCTAAATACAGATTCCTAGTTTACATTCTTTCAACTTAATCTGTCCAAATACATCAACTTCATAATGATGAAGGTATAAATAATTTCAATAAAATAGGAATCTTATCAGTTTTCCTTCCCTTTCAACATGACTGTCTCATAGTAAAGGCTGTGCAATAAATCGTTGTATAAGAAGACCTAATGTAATACGTGCTGCAGTTTCCCAGAAGGACGAAATATATTTATTAAAGTTCATTGGAAAACTACAATTATTTCAATCAGTAGAATAAAATCTACATAGGCTAAAAAACATTCAGACATCATTTTTACTTCTAAGATAGTCTCAAAACTGGTAATTATTATTTTTCATTTAAAATATTCATTGTTGTATGTTAATCTAATTATCTGTTGAACAGGTGAGAAGTATGGAACAGAAGCAATATAGGATAAAGATTAGTAAAATTCCGTATTATAATTATTGTTCATATCAAGCAACAGCTCTATGAAAATTTGTCATGCATATTCCATCGAACTTGGCTTAAAACAGTTAACAGACAACCTCTAAGCGATCTGTTGTTAAGACGAACACTGGCAAACATTAATAAAACGTAGTTATTCTTATTACACCTAACTAACCAAAGTCAATTTAAGGGTACTTATGGATTGAGAATGTCTTCAATGACGATCACAAAATATTTTTTGAGAGTCGCATAGACACGGTATATGTCAATGGAAACGTCTCTGGCTAAAGCACTAGATGACGCAGGTTTCTATCCCCGAGAGGACGTCAGGACATTGGGAAGTGCAAATGCGGCCTGATGAAGAGTGCCAACAAGCATGAAACTTGCGTCCAGGAATACCTGCAGATCGTCTCCAACCACCTAACACTGATTCAAATGCATCTCAGGGCTCCTGGATTGGCAACTACATTTTAAACTGCTCTGACAGAATTCACTCCGTATCAACACTAAAGAACAGACACATGACACTGATTACATCCCAATGACCGCCTCTCACCAAAAAAAATACAAAATTAAAAAGTTTTAATCACAGGAGTATAAACTTACTATGTAGTATTGCTCTTGTTCTTCGTTTGCATTTTTATATTCTCCCACTTCAGCATGATAGGCTATAAAAAAGTTAAGTACATTCCAATTAATATTCTTGAAGACTTATTAAAATATGTGCGTGAACCGTGTCAAAAGCTAAGAAAGTGCTAACTGTCAGGACTGCTGCATTTTAGTAAGTGTAACTCACCTGTCCATGAAGAGGACCGTTTTGATGATGTAATAAGACGTTCAAGTTAAGGGCAGCACATCCCATCTATCTATATAGAGAAATGTTTACAGTGAATGTGTATTTCCCTTAATGATTATTCGAAGTTTGTATAAAACGTCTTAAATTATTCGTTTCCGATATTTGATAAGCCCACAGAGCTTACTCCATCTACCCAAAGTCTAGTTTCATCAAAATGAAACAGACTACTATGATTTAAAAGTAAACACGATCTGACGTCAGTTAGAGAACCAAAGGAAAATTAGGGAGTACTAAACAGTCGTTTCGTCCCTGCTTCAGACTCTTCAACAGTCCCTCTCTCGGTTTTCCAAAGGTTCTTCTAACTGATATCAGCTTGTGATCAAACCTACGACCAATCGAATCGCTGAGAACCAAAACTTGATTGTTAAATGTAATCATTCATGGAGAAGGAATTTCAATAACACATACACACTTCTGTGAGTTATTATATTTCTCAATGGATGGAAAAGAAAGTAACATTGTTTCTTCCAATGCTGAAAACTTTATACGCTGAAAGCATGGATAAGAGAAATCCCTTTGGGAAGGTATGTTGACCAGAAAACCGAAATTAAACGTTGAATCATAGGGAATATAATAGTGATAACACTTGGCAAACATTTAAAAAAATACTCGGCATATAAGCCATGGATAAATATAAAAGCGACATACCATGTAAACTATGCCGTAGGGATAGCTGCAGTTTACGAAGATCTGTGAAGAAACTTTTCCGTTCTGTTTCAGGATCTTTCATGGGAGCACTAATCCATAGGTTTGGATGATGACGTTGACAGTGAGGAATAAGCAAACTAAAAGATACAATGAATATAACAAAGTTAGATAAATGCTTAATCAATGGGTTTTATCACTTAAAGCTTAAAATTTAACTCATGACAATAATATGGATAAAAGTACAATTTGTGAACTAAACTTTTAGTTACATCCTATATGAAGGTATACATTCATGTACATTTCTAAGGGATTTCTTAAGTCATTAACCTGTCTACATAAATATTAGCTCTTCACGTAACTTTAGATTCTAGAAAAGTAGGTATGTATTTCGAAAAAAAGGTGTGTCAAAAGCAGGAAATTGGAATTTGATGTTACATAATGACACCCCCGCCCCTAAATAATCGTCCCCTTAGTGCATCTGGAAGTCAGGTCAATTAGCTAATTAGTCACTCTGGAACTTCCACTCACTGACTGACAAATCAAACTCAAACTTCTTACAGAAGTGCAACTCATCAAACTGCAATAAGTAGAAAAGGTGTACAAAAAGGAAGAGGACGAAACTAGAATAATACTGTAAAGTGCGCAGTCATATGAGAGAAGACATATCACTAAGCGTCTTTGTACTCTAATTCTTAGAATGCAGACAATCAAACTACACAACCCAAAATTATGCAAACCAATGGTTAATGATTTCGTGGATTAATGCCATGTTTTTATCTGATCACTCCGAAGTCTTCGCAACCAATTCCAATTCATTAATAGAGAGAAGACCAGTAGTTCAACGAAGATTCTCTTTTATTCCGTTTGGCAAATTTAATGTCCACACACATACAGAATAACCATATATATTCGCGATTGTGCAGCTATGAAAATGAATTCGCCCAAACGAGACTCTTCGGTGAACTACTGGTCTTCTCTTTATTAATGTTTTGAAATTATTTCACTTAACTTTAATTCAAGATTACTGAAGGTGATGGAAGCACTTTGGATTAATCACATACATCCTAAACTATGTGTACAAAAAATAATTCCAATTCAGTTGATATTGTTCATTAAGAAAGACAGTGGTCTTTTATACTCAATAAGTGTTCGTTATCTAGCACAACCTGATCACTGAATCACTTTTCCTACCGCTCTACCTAACGTAAGCAACTGAATGGAGGCATTTATGGTCGAAAACCAGTAATATTTTAATGCATTCCACTATAAGTTGCCATGTTCTACAGTCGTTAAGGGGAATAAAGGGGAATGATGTTAAGCATACATCAGTTTTGATGGGAAGCCTCATAACTCCTCAGGGCCACAGATAACGCATTTTGGCGAATCGAGGTTTCACCACCAACCAGTCCACGAAGTACAACGCCATTTCCTATAAATGTGTTAAACAACTATGGTTCCTTCATTCCCGTCTTAAAGCTGGGAATCGACATAGCACACTTCTGATAGACAGTCTCAGACTAAATAGAGAAAAAACGCATGTCAAGCAGGAACAGACCTTTGCACATTGAATCTTATGAAGCCCTCTACCAAAGAGGACTTCACCGTTGTTGTATCGAAAGTAAATAAGGTCTACTCTTAGCACGAAGTCAGATACATCAACTATTAGCCACATATATACTAAATTTTAATAAGAACAGTGGCCTTGTGCAATCTTACTGTAAACTTCGACCATATAAAAATTCCTTAAAAGCTCAAATAAGACTGTAAGTTTGAACAGAATTCGGCATAACATAATAGTTTAGGATTCTTTTCATAATTAAACATTGCCTATCTCGAATGCTCAAATGCAAGTCAAGAAATATGGCAAATTCCGGAAGTCAATAAATGTATCTAAAATCTAGAGCCTGCTAAAGAGTGAAAATTCGATGAGTGCAACATCTTCCATATCTAAAATTCTTTAGGTTCTTTAAAGTTTTTTTCTGAGATCCATTTCATTTGAAAATCATAGTTTATTAATTGACTTGATCTAACCATAATTATCGTACCAAGATTTGCTCCCTTCCTTATAATCTGTAACAATCAATCATTTTCACTTACCTGGTGAAATTATCTCGCACTCTCATGTGCTAATTATAACTTCAGTTATTTCAGTCAAACATTACTTAGTGAAGCAGGAAGGTCAACTTCCACATCTCGTTAAGATGCTGAGAGGATGGTGCTCAATCATAATACAGATAAGGACCAGGTGAATCCTACTTAAAATGTACTGTCCGAACTGAGCTAATGCTGGGTCTTTCAGAAAAAAGTTATCTACGAAATGTTTGCCAACACGTTGCAAAAAGACGACCTAATGCTATTTATTTCTTAATATTCATGTTTGTCATGTAGTGGCCATTTTATACAATCTTTATACACTTTCAGATATGACGAAGAGGAAAAAACAAATTATCATACGATATGACGAAATGTTGTGTAACGAAACAGACTGATATTCGATGAACAATCATTATAGTTCAGATATTTCAACAGAATACCTGATTTTTAGGTATAGGTTTGAGATGTACCTTTCGTGGTTGAATAAAAATACATAACATTAAATGAGGTGATTCGGATGAGAAATGCGGAGTGAAATAACCAGCAAGTGTCTTGATTCTTCACAACAAAGGTGAGTTTAGAAGGTATGAGAGGTGCACTCAAATAACATTAAATCAAACCTTCATAAAAAAATGAAATTTAAAAAATGAACTATACTTGAAAGGACACTTAAACAATGATCATTCAGTATTATATTTTAAATAATATAAAAGCAGATGAACCAAAGTCGAGTGTTAAGAAAGCTCAGTTAGAACTAGCTGACGATTCAACGATTTCAAATACTTACTTTTGATAGTAAACACCCGTCTGACTTGAATCAACGCGTTCCCATCCTAAAGGGATGTAGGGGCCAATAAGTGGATGATTCCATGTGGACCGTCTAGTTGAGTCGCATGTATAGTACGATCGACCAAGACCAGATCGTCTTTCAGACCATCCATTTGGTAATATTAAGCGGACATTATTATCCATTTCAATTAATGACTAGTAAATTTAAAAGAACAGCGAAAATCTTATAACAAAGCCAGATTTTAAAAAATTAGTTACAAAATGAAATCAAACAAGTAATTTTAGATGTATACAGTAGGAAATTATAATTTAAATTCTTATGAAACCCAACTGAATACATATATATATATATATATATTACATAAGTTTAAATAACTATATCTAGCGTTGCATAACTAAATAAGGTTTTCAGTGTGATAATGAGAGTTATGTTATTAGGCGTAAAAACCATTAAATGGTAATCGACAAATATAAGGAAACACTAGTTTAGTCCCAAGATATTTTAAAGGATACTGAATGAAATCTTCTACCGAAGCGATCATTTAATATTGACCTGAATGGGATGGCTCTCTAGAAGCGTACACCAAGGATTTCCTTCATTCGCAACACTTAATTTTTGTTGACAGCGCTAATCACCATCAACGGGAGGGATTTGAAAGAGGTTACTTCATTCACTTATCTAAGGAGCATTGTCTTAACTACAGGAGGAATGAACGAGGATGTCAAATCGAGCGAGAATCAGGAAGGCGAGAAACACATTTATCAACCTGAAACCAATCTGGAAATCTTCGTCACTCAGCATTAACAATAATATTAGGATCTTCAATACAAACGTCAAGTCAGTTCTTCTATACGAATCAGAAACTTGGTGGGCGGGTCACAAAGAATATTTCCAACAGCCTGTCGCAGACATTTATCAACCAACAACTTGCTTTGCTCTATACTGAAGATCAGATGGCCGGAAAGAATCACCAACAAGAAACTATGGGAACAAATAAAACAAGAACCAATCGCCAACCAACAAATATGCAGGAGAAAGTGGAGATGGACTGGACACTCGTTGAGGAGGCCGGTTGGTGACATCGCGCGCCAGGCCCTCGAGTGGAACCCAAAAGGGAAGAGGCGAGTGGGACGTCCAAGGGTGACATGGAGAAGATCGTGTGAAAAGGAGTTGAAACAGTATGGACTAACATGGATGCAGGTAAAAAGTACAGCAGAAGACAGAAGCAAGTGGAGAAATGTTCCACTAGGAACCCAAGGGAACAATAATAAATAATAATAATTTCTGTTTTCATCTATGAGGAATTCCTATCGTCATCATAAATTTTCAAAAAATTATTCAGTATTTTATAATTGCAAGTGTAAACTTGGGTGCAAATTCTATAAGTTAAATGGTTATACCTGTAATGGGACATCTGTTAAGCTATTTTAAATAACTACCCACACACACGCACCTTTATTACTGACAGTTGGATGACCAATAATTCCTTTTCTTTCTTCTACTCTAGTTACTTGTGATTTGTAAGTGTCAACTGAAAAAAAGCAATCTGTGATAACAGAATCAAAACATATGCTTGACGCACTGAGATACAACAGTAAGACGACTAAATTACTAGATAGGAAATTTATATACTAGACTATGAGTCTCATGGCGTTTATTCAATAACGGAATTAAAGGAATTATAGCAATGCTTGTGCTCTATAACACACTGGATAAATAGCTTATGTATAAGCCAATGAGTTATATTCAAATACAGGAAATAACATACAAACGGTGAAGTACATGAAACCTTTCATTGAACCTATCAGACAACCACACATTTAATCGATATTCTATTATTATTATTATTGTTATTAACTAAACTTATAACGATACTGATAATGTAACATCACTACTAATCAGTTTAAAAGCGTACAAAATAGGTGTGACCTACTGAAATTTTTGAATAGAAATTTGAATGATCCAGTAAAGCTAGTCCTGGTTCAACAGGTAACTCTGGAGCTAAATCAAAACTTGATTTTGTATACCGTATTCCTATTCGATTTTGGTTATGATAAGCAGCTAAGTCATTAGCGCTAAATGAGTTTGTCATTGAACGTATAGCTGGTGATTGTAGAACATTTGTGTTACTGTTGTTTATGAAATTCTGACCATCACCTACTTGGTCCGACATCACTGATATCTGATTACTTGATACACCAGCATAATGATAATTATCCCAACGATTGTTATTTTGTCGAAGTCTATCGAATTCTGAGGGGATTCCACGTTCTGAAACATGGCTTGGTGGATTGTCTGTCTCAGAAGTATATGTAAATCCAGCATTTGCACTACCTGAACGAGGCATACAACTTGTGAATCGGTTATAACCCGGACGTTGAAAATAGACATGCCAATTATGGTTGTCTGTATGAAAAAGAGAAAGGATTTCAATAACATTATAGATAAATAAAATACATCTGATCTTTCCGAATTAATGATAAACACACACGAAATCACCTGCAGATTTGGTTTACATTTTGGATATACAATATGCATTATATACCATAATCAAGTAACAATTACGGAAAAATTGAATACATCAAATTAATTTACAATATTATACTTTGTTTTTAAAAACAAACCTACAGAAGAAAAATATCAACTTTCAAAGAAATGACAATTGTTAATACTGCTGTTATAATTAAAAAGAAAACAAAAGTCTCAAGAGATCTCCTGCGTCATATATGTGCGTATAATGGCTTGATTTCTACGATATTATTATACTGAATGTAAAATACGTTAACCATTGGGTTGCTAGCCGCATGCTAAACCTTCTCTCTTTACCAGTCTTATTATTGGCTTAGCAAGGTAAAGGAGTGCGTCGGCCAGGGATCGAACCGCGAACTACATTTGTGGTTGGCGAGCATCCCAACTCTGTGTCACCAACGCGAGATTTGTTTATATATACATATAATTAAAAGTGATCATGAACTTAGGGTGGCTATTTTCAAAATAATATTCAAATGAATTTGGGTAGTCGAAGTCACCATTTGCAAGAAGTCGTAATTAAGTCGTAGAAGTTTGTTTAATAATAATGAATATACATCCTAGATCCTGTCGTCCCATCCTAGTTTGGGACTGCTCAGCAGCAAGCACTCGCCGGCTTTCGAACCCAGGACCCTCTAGTTAAAGAAGGTCTGAAGTTTGTTTGAGATGCTCTTTATGACGCGCTGGCCAAGTCTCTGATCTGTATAGCAAGTAGCACTGACTGACTTCATATTGGAGTTGAAAATCCGGATCTTATTTTTGATGCTGAGTGATGTTGACCTCCACACAGATTTGAGAGTAATGAAAGCTTGTCTTGCTTTTTGATTCTGGCTTTGATATCCTCGTCAGTTCCGCCTGTAGCTGAATCGATGCTTCCCAGGTGGTAGGTAAAGGATGTTGTTTCTTTCAGGTTCCTCCCATTTATGCTGGCTGATTGTTGTCTGTTCTTGTTGTTGCTGTTGATGTTGGCCAGGAATCTTCATCACCTCTGTTTTGTCTATGTTCACTTGAAGTCCTATCTTTGATGCTTCTTCTGCCAACTTGTTACTTTTCACTTGCATATCTTCCAGTTTGTGGGAAATCAGACATATATCATCGGCGAAATCCAGATCCTCCAAGTCTTTTGTGTCAGTCCATTTTATGCCTGTTCCCTCGTTGGTTGCCGTTGTCTGTCGCATTATCCAATCGATTGCAATCAGGAAGATCATTGGTGATAGTAGACAGCCTTGTCGCACTCCCGTCCTCACTTCGAAGGCTTCCGTAAGTTTCCCGTTGTGGATTACTTGGCATGCACCATTGTCGTATAGCTGTTGGATGAGATGTATAATTGTCGATGGGACCCCGTAGTAGCGAAGTAGTTGCCAAATGACCTCTCGATCGACGATGTCGAAGGCCTTTTCAAAGTCGATGAAGTTGAGATAGAGAGGTGACTGCCATTCCAAGCTTTGTTCAATGATGATCCGTAGAGTGGCGATTTGATCAATACATGATTTGTTTCTCCTGAATCCGGCCTGTTCCGGACGAAGTTTTTCATCCAGGGCTTGTTTGATTCTCTCCAGGATGATGCGACTTAGTATCTTGTTTGGAATGGACAGAAGCATAATTCCACGCCAGTTTTTACATTGACTTAAGTCTCCTTTCTTTGGTAGTTTGAATAAGTATCCGTTCTTCCAATCCTCGGGTACTTTGCCCTCTTTCCACACCTTCTCCAGCAATGGCGTCATCAAGTCCGCTGTTGTCTCTGGGTCTATTTTCGAAGCTTCTGCTGGGATTCCATCTGGTCCTGGTGCTTTCCCAGCTTTTAGCATCTTGATTGCATCCAGGACTTCTGATTTCGTCGGGGGGTCAGTGTTCACTGGTAGTTCTGCTTCCGTTGTTGGTATTGTTGGGTGCGTTGTAGGTGGCGGACGATTTAGAAGTCTTTTGAAGTGTTCAGCCCAGTGTTTTCTCTGTTCCACCTCTTTGGTGATTGGCTTTCCATTGTCGTCCTTTATTGGCTTAATCTGTGTCGAACTTTTGCCCGAAAGGTGCCTAGTTGTTTGGTAGAGTGTGGGGAGGTCTCCTTTGCCTGCAGCTTGTTCTGCTTCGTTTGCCATGGTTTCATAATATTTTCTTTTGTCTTCCCTGGCACTCTTCTTCACTCTTTTGTTCAGTGTATTGTAGCTTGCATCCTGTTTTTGTTGCTCGTCAGTGCACTGGATAATCTTTTGTTTCACTGTCCTTCTCTCTTCTATTAGTTTCCAAGTGTCCGTAGTGAGCCACTGTTTGTCCTGTCTCTTTCTTCTGCCTAGAACTTCTATGCAGGTTTGACTCCACACCGTTTTCAAGTTGTTCCAGTGCTTTTCGACGCTGACCTTTTCGCTGGTGTTGATTTGTGTCTCGGCTTTGTCCTTTATGCTTGCAATGAAGATGTCCTTTGTAGCCTGGTCCTTCAGCTTTTGAGTGTTGAACTTGGACTTTGGTCTATCTGCAGCTCCTGTTTCCCTGAAAGCTTTTAATTTGATTTGGATTGTCCCTTGTACGAGATAGTGGTCTGTGCCAAAAGATTATCATCCCGATACCCCAGACTTTAGTAGCGATCAGGTTCCATCTGAAACTTGTAAAAAGTGAGATTTCAAGATGTTATCTTATTATTTTTCATTGTCAATCATTTACTTTCTAAGTGAAACATAGAGCTTCAAGCTGGAAATAAGAAAAGTAGCAGTAGTGTTTATTTTTACGAGGTGGGGTCGCCAGCCTCATGCTCAAACTTCCCTCTTTACCAGTCTTATTATTGGCTTAGCAAGGTAAAGGAGTGCGTCGGCCAGGGATCGAACCGCGAACTACATTTGTGGTTGGCGAGCATCCCAACTCTGTGTCACCAACGCGAGATTTGTTTATATATACATATAATTAAAAGTGATCATGAACTTAGGGTGGCTATTTTCAAAATAATATTCAAATGAATTTGGGTAGTCGAAGTCACCATTTGCAAGAAGTCGTAATTAAGTCGTAGAAGTTTGTTTAATAATAATGAATATACATTCTAGATCCTGTCGTCCCATCCTAGTTTGGGACTGTTCAGCAGCACGCACTCGCCGGCTTTCGAACCCAGAACCCTCTAGTTACAAGGCGAGCTCGTAGACCATTAAGCCAATTCGACTCGAACCGATGGAGAATTCCAACTTCTGCCGATTCACAATATAGCGCGACCACTAGCCAATGTCTTCGGCTAGTATTTGTCCTCACACCCGAACCCCGGTGGGTGTGTACTGATAAAGAGTCCCACGCTAGGACGAAATACTTTCCAGTACTCCCTACAGGTTTCCCAATGGTTCTCTAACCGCTGTCAGCTCATGATGAAATCTTCCATCCAATCTAACAAATCCCTACAAACAAATACTTGAATATTTTAGATTTTTAATGTATGGATTGCGTTGGTGGCATAGCGGTGGAACGCTCGCCAATTACAAATGTGGTTCGCGGTTCGATCCCTGGCCGACGCACTCCTTTACCTTGCTAAGCCAATAATAAGACCGGTAAAGAGGGAAGGTTGAGCATGAGGCTAACAACCCCACCCCGTAAAAACAAACACTACTGCTACTGCAACTTTTCTTAGCTCCAGCTTGACGCTCTATGTTCCACTTGAAATGTAAAGGAATAAAAAATCTATGGATTGTGAATTTCATTAAAATAAGTATATTAGGTGTTATTGTGTAGTTCTAAAACTTTAAATTTTTTCACTGAGAATAGGCTGACATTCTTAGGTTGTACTCACATCCATAATATAATGGGTTACTCAATAAACAGCATGGATTGTCGTAACAAATATTCTGTATTACACATTCTTCTCATAGTAACATAGTTAATTGGGAATGTAAGTGTAAGACTATGTCGAAAAGTGTTAATTGGACTGATCCTGTCAACATCCTTTAACTGTATTTTTTAAAATAGTCAGGTGAATTAGGTAGGTTCAACCATTAAGAATTCTATTCTCATTGCATCAAAAAATTAAAACGTATTATAAAAGTATGTTTAGTTTGTTTTACTTTCCCATACTTGAAAATTTCCCCTCATTATTCACTTGTTATTAAATACTTCTTTGTACATTCTGTTTTTCTCTACTTTTTCCTTCATTTCACTGTCGAGTGATGCCTAGACGGTGAGGGTGGGGTAGGGTGGGGTGGGGGAGGTAAAAGGTTTTTTGTGTAGAATTCCATATTGGTGCTATTTAGTTATTGTTATTTATTTTGTGGATTTTGCTTCTGTTTTCTTGTAAGTTTGTACGAGTGCGCGAAAATCTGTGGGTGGTTTCATCTCTTTTTCTTTCTTTTTAGATTTACTTTTGCTTTTACTATACATTTACTTATTTTTCACGATCACTATATACTTGTGCACATTGATTAGTTGATACATTTCTCTTTCTTTATTAACACTTACATATAAACAAATTCCTGTTTGTTTTCCATGATATTTCCAAAAACTATTTAGAATTTCATATTTGCTAAGTTATTCTGTTAAAGAATAGATCAAGGAAGAAGACTGGAAATAACTAATAATCAGTGACCAAGGCAATTTACAAGTTTTACAGTTTTATGTCTAACGATGTGTAAAATGCCTTTTTTCGAAAATCAGTTCCAGTCGTGTCAATTTAATAATTATGCATAGTATTACTCGTATTTCGAATATATTAGGGATTTCTATCTACTTCTATCTGTGTATTCAAGTCATTTTACTAGAACACTGATTTGATGTTAAAGACGACCGTGGAACTCTTCATACTGACTCCACACGCCCTGTTTTCATTAAAATTCGAAGTAGTGATGTTAGGAATCAGTTTAAAGAAATCTCGCCTACATCTACACTTGCTGAACATATAATTGTTTTTTGCGGAATTG